GGATCTTTCTGAAGCGTATACACGTCCAAAGTATAAAATAATCTATAGGGGTTTCTGAAACAAGTTTTCTTGCTAAATTCCTTAGATTTCTTTGTGATCGTGAACAACCTCTCAATACATTTACACTGCTTTTAAATGTTTCATTAATTCAAGTGAATATCTTATTTAACATAACAATATGCCGAGTTTCAAATGACATTCTATAAGTCTTGCCCAAAATGACGAGACTACCCATAACGTTCAGGATCACGGACACATATGTGCCTTCCGAAAGACACCAAATTCAAACAGAAAAGACACTCAAAGAAATAGTTAAACTAACATGATAGCAAAATGATAAATGCTCATAATGTGGTTGATATCTAAGTCAAACTATGGTGAGGTAAAGGCTATTATTCAATTTTAATACAGGAAGGTGCCTATTTATGCATTATTTAAAAAAAAAAACTTTACACATGAGTATAAAAACAGAGTTTTAGCTATTGGATTGAGTCACTCTGCATTTAACTATTTTTCATTCAACAAACTTATTCCCTTGTATAAACTATTTTTCATTAAACAAACTTATTCCCTTGTACATATACCACCACGATGAACCACTTTAAAACAGGCACCTAAATCTCTAAGCCTATGCCGTATTTTATACAAATCTCTTTCATTTTGATGACAAAGGAAAACACGCTCTAAACGACCAAGTTCTGATTGTAATTCCTCTAGGGTTTCAACGTATCTATGCGAATTATCTTGTTTCTTGTAGATGTCAGCCATTCGATCGAAAGTATCAGCAATAACCAACGTGTTTGGCGTTGAAGTTATACTTGTTCCTTTAGTTGTAAAACCCTTTCACAATATTTCAAACTACTGGGTAAATAGCTTTGTATCTTATATATGTCTGCCAAATGCGATAAACTCTCAATATACTGGATATTGTTAGGTGCAATGTTCTGTGTTATTTCTACTGCTTTCCGGAACATTTCCCCTGCGTCATTATAACGACCTTCTTCTTTATAGACCAAACCTTTAGTGTGGAATACTCACGCTTCGGCTTCTTTCGGTGGGAGCTTTTCTTTCTTCAATTTTTCAAACCCATCATCTAGAAGTGAATGAGCTTCTGTGAATTTTCTCAAAGGGATCATGATTTTAGCTGTACTGCATATGGAGAGAACCGTCGACAAAACAGGAGCATTGCATTGTAGTTTCATATCAAGTCCTCTTTTATAGTATTCCACTGTTTTTTCAGTGTCACCTTTTAAATCATACATTTCGCCAATGTTATTAAAACAAGCAGCTATTCCTGGATGACTCTCACCTTGAAACATTCGACGCCGCTTCAATTATTGAAAGTGGTACTTTTCTGCTTCTTTGAAGTTCCCTGAAAAGACGGGCTTTTAGACGAATTGTTTTAATATAAATGAAATGATAGAAAGAAACAACATCTTGAAGGACGAAACTAAAGTTTTCAAATAGAATTTTTGATGTGTGTAAATAATGATTAACACATATGTTCTATTTGTTACATGCCTTCACTGTTCATTGCCATGTAACTGGAGCTTTTGCAGATATAGCTTCAATTACTTACTGGTAGATTGATTTTATAAACAGAAATGTGAAAACATACCTAAAAACGTAAACGATACACCCATACTGCTTAACGATTGCACAGCAGTTTGTTTGAACTTTTCCCCCGATATCACAGTAATTGCCAATGATTTCTTGAAATATCTAAAATGATAGCAAAAAAAATACCTTTAAGTTATTTGTTTTCGAGGGATAAAGTGCATTAAAGCCATTGATTTACGATATCGTATATCGATTTGTATAGTTAATCTTTAAATCATTTTGCCTGAAATGAAAATTTGCAAAAAGGAAGTAACTAATTCATATAATATATAATTAACAGCAGACACATTTTAACTATTGCTTATTTGAATATATTGTCATGTGAACAATACATCATTTCATTAATAAAAAATGTGAACAACAACTTGAAGTCTGCACACAGTCACCGTAAGAATACTTCAGGCACTATTAAAATATACCTTATCGCATCAGTGTTTTGTCATTGAAGAAGTGTGTTCCAACCAATCCTTTGATAAGCTGTTGCAAGGAGTAAAGATCTTTCATCACGAGGTTCTAGAATATCCAATGCAGCTTTGTAGTGTGCTTCTCCTCCGAGTAAATTACCCTAGAGTACATTTTATTGGTGTCATATGAGCTGTTGTTTTTTTATCATTATTTCATGTGAACAACATTTTTATTGCACAAAAACATGTACTACTTAAGTAGAAATGCACAAGTTTTCAGTAAATTAAAATTGAAATATGAAGATTGTTATATAAGGAAAACAAACTATTCAACTGCTTGTATATATTTTATAAATACCGTTGTATTTGTGTACAAACTTCCAACAGCAATGTTGATCGATGCCTTATCCTCGTCCTGGCCATACTTTTCCGCAGCCTGTAAACAGTGCACGTAAAATACTTCACAATTTCCTACAATATAACAATAACCACAAAGCAGATGTCATTGGGCTATAAAATCTGGCAATAAAACATGCGTTGCAGCAAAAAGGACCATCAGTATAAAGAAGTTATTGTATGACATTTCTGTAACAACTTAGAGTCCCGCCATTCGTCTTGCTGTTCGTAATGGTAAATCTATTTATGCATAATTTTACATGAAAACAAATACTTTCGGAAACGTACAACCGCAACAGGTTTTGGCCAATGTCAGAACCAAACATTGAACGAACGCTCCTCGTAGAACATGTTAAAACATATTGAATTATACCTGACATAAAGCGTTCGATCATTCCGGTACAGTTGGTCACCATTTCTATGAAGAACTTATAATTGTCCTGAGCAGTGTCCTCTACTTCAATCGGCAGCTACTGTAAGTTCGGTTGTTCAATAAAGTATTCAGCCATAGCGTTTGTATAATCAGTTGTATTCAGACGCTTGTAGATATTTGTCATTACAACAGAAAAGATTTGTATGTATCTTCGTCTGATTTCTGTAATTTGACATAATGATTGATTGCAACAGCAAACTATACAAAATATAAATGCTGTTAAAATAGAAAATTAATTTTATGAAAAGTTTCACGCAGGTTAAATCAGAAATACATCAAATTCAGATTATGTTCAATTGATGTTGCATGCTTTGTCCCCTGATCTTTGAATTTCATATTCTATACCTATGTTTTTAATCAATTTAGATTATGTTGATATAAAATACCTGGTAAATTTTCAATCATGTAAAACGACTTGATACATTCGCGTAAAATTCTTTGAATTCCAAAAATCTTTTTGTATTTCGGTCATAATGAAGTATGTGACGTTTACAAACAGGACGTCATGTTTCTTCCATGATCATCTCCACTGTATTTGCATCTGTAATTATCACTTTACATAATGTGATAATAATAGATATAAGAAAAGCAGGCAGATCTTAATCTATAGCGATATATTTTGTGTACAGTTATGTTTGGTCTCAGTTTAAAGATTGTGCCGTTTGTCCGTATTGATTCCATTTTTGGTATTCGAAATCATTGATTGCAAAACTTTTACAGAGATGAACATTGACTTCAGACTAAGGACCAAATAAATCATTATCTGTCATAAATAGCACATTCATTCCACCTACTAGGATGAATCTACCTCTTTACAGTTTTAGTAAAATTGTGAACTGAAAGCAATCTGATATATTTGAATTGACACTTTGCATATTTTTTGCCTCCAGGTTGATTAAGCATTGACCATTATAATGTTGGTGATAAATAATTGAAAATGACAAATGCTGAGGTCTGAAAATTAAAAATGATTGTTCAGCTTCTTTTTAACAGTTGAACATCACAAAAAAATACTGAAGGCTATTTATCGAAATTAATTCCCAAGAATCATTGGGGACATTGTTAATAATTTAAATTAAAATATAGATTTGAAAGAATTTGTGGAAAAAATATATAATTATTTTACTTTAACGTGCTCATTCACCCTTTAGATTGCCAAATAATGAATATGTCTTATTACATTACTTTATTAAATCCTATAGATATAATACAACTTTGCTAATCATTTTATATATATTATCTAAAAAACACAATTAAAATATGCCTGGCACAATTATGAGGAAAAGAGTGTTGTTCAATACAAACATGTAAATTTCTTGAAAAAGAAACACAATATCTATAAAAAGATGTTATCTTTAATGAGTTATATAGATATACAATATATCATAATGTATAATTCATACCCAATATTTGTTGTGCCTGCTCAGCACTGAATGTTCCCGGGATGTATTCTAAAACTGTGAGATGATTCTTATACACTTCATCAAGTCGATCAAGAAACTTCCTATAGACATCTCCTATAGGCATAAATATTTATGTGTGTACCTAAAACCATTCTTATTCTTATTTTCATTTTTCTTTATTCTAATTTATGTCTAGAAGGTGCAATAGTCTTATCTAACGATTATGAATAAGAATACTGGATGATTCAAATTGGCATTATGTTCATTTTCCCATAGTTAGTTGAGCTGCACTAGCAATATATTTAATATATATGTGTTTTGAATGGTGATTCACAAATAAATGAAAACAAAAATTCAATGGATAAGATATAAAAATAGTTTAAAGTATAGAAAGATTGTCCCACTCTTTTAATAATTGAACGTTACTGGTTATATTATGAATGATATTTATTTATATTTAAATATCCATGTGTCACTTGAGTTATTGATATTTTTTGTGCTAAATGTAAAGCTATTTTGACCTTTACCTGTACATTCACCATTTACGATTTGATGAGCATAATATGACTTTAAATTTGACCCCACAAATAAATAAATAAATATGAATAAAAGTGTACATATTCTTTTTAATTCTGTAAATGTGCAAATGGTACTTGACAGATATCATTAGAGCATAGAAAAATACATACATAGTATCTTTTAAATTTAATGTAACAATATTCCACAATGTCAAAAGCACGTTACCGACTCTATCTTCCTCTGGATAAAATTCTCTACTCAATGCCTTGAGTCTACAAGTGAGTAAAAGATCAACCATATTTTTCGGAGTTATCATCCCTGCGTCTTCTGTTAACTCTGATCCGATCATGAGGATCAGTAGTGGCAATCCTTCACTAAGCGTTATCATTGCACTCTCATAGTCTCCTAGATCAATCTCCTCAGTCACGTTTTTCAGTAGCTGTCTTGCGTCAGTTTCATTCAAAGGTAGCAGTTCCTGACTGCAATAAACTCTTCCAAGTTTTGAAAACTGAACTTGAGTAGTTGAAGTAATGACATTTTTACATTTCTCTACCATTGTGGTGCATAATCTTAAAAATGAAGAACAAATGTTTAGAGTTTTAGTATCCTGATAGTCCTCTGTATTGTCAAAGAAGAACAAAAACTCGTTTTCTGGTACAGAATTGAGAAATAACACGATATTATGAATCCATTGGTCAGATCCAGTCGAATCTTGATCAAAGACTAGTTCCAAGGCTGCGCAGATGTTTAAATACAACGACACTACATCCGGCATCAACTTTATATCTATATGTATAACTTTGACTCCGTCTGGTTTAAATCTCTTCAAATATTCTTTCACAAGCCTTGATTTCCGACAGATTTTATTCCAAATATACCAATAATCCTAAAAACTTCCGAAGCCTTATGTAACTTTTCAATGTCATTTTTCCTGCCAACAAAGTCCGGTTCAAAATTATTTAGTACGTGAAATTCAGCATTAAGTTTTTTATTAAGAATTTCTCCTTTATTTACCAAAAGGGTTTGTCCAGCCATTCTAAACATTAAAATGCCAAATAAATATTTGTATTCAGGATTGTTTCACTAGTATAAAATCTCACTACAAACTTACTATCGATATAGTTAAGATACAGGTCTGTACACACGATTGAATGTCTGCACCTACACATTTCATAATTTTTACAGTGTTCAATAATTCAATACGTGTTTTGTGCTATGAAAAACCCTGCATGTGGAAAAAACCAAAACAAAAAGAAAAGAAAGAATAGAAAGCAAACTTCAAAAAACTTCAAATCATTTCGAATTGAACAAAAATGTTTATATGTAAGATTTTTTATACAGGGTCTTTCGAATAAAACCGCCTTTCTATTTAGGAAATAGAGATCAATTCTGAGTGAATTGTTGTAGAATAATGCACGGTTTGAGTTCAAATGCGTAGTAATATAATCACGAAGGCCGATAGGTCCGAGTGATTAATTACAAAGCATTTGAACGAAATGAACGAAAAACGTGCATTATTGTACAATAATGCACGAAGAATTAATATCTATTTCCATTCTAACACGTCAAGAAAAAATATAATTATTATTATGAAGTTGGACTTTATGTTTGGTGGTTAAATTTGTTTTCGCCTCAGAGATTCCAATAGAAACGTTCTTTAAATGCTGTTCCAGTGGGTTGAAAAAAACTGTCGTTAAATCTACCATGTGTAGAAACATTTTGAGAATAACGAATTTTGAAAATGTTGATAAAACTTTGTTTGTTTACTTTATTTCACTCTATAATTTTTCAAGCGAAATACTAATTATTAAAAGTGAAATAAATGTAAAACTTATTTCGTTTGCGACATTAAAAAAAGCGTACATGATTTGATTGTTTTGCATGTGCTGTTTGGCGCTACATTGTGACGTTACGTAAACAACACTTAAAACGTCTGTACAGCGTTAACGACTGAATTAAAGGTATTGGTGTTCGGATTCATTTTCTTAGTTAGACAATTTTCTTTCATTCCAGAAAGTTTTCACAACAAAAGTCGACAAAAAATTGTTTTTTATTTATCAGATTTTCCAAACAAAATGGCGCCCTCAATGTGAAAATACACAGGGAGATAATAAGAACGGCGAGTGCATTGTTGTAGAATAATGCACACTTCGGGCCTTCTTTGTTTATATGGAAACATTTCCGATAGTGTTAGAATGAAAGATTATACATAGTCAAAATGAATGTGCTCGCAACTCTTTTACGGGAAGATAATACCATTTAAACATATTTAATTGCAGTATGAAACTATCATTCAATTGAAATATTTGATGAAATTAAAATAAGGATTTTCAACCCTTTATACAACACTGCTAAAAAAACAAATTATCGATAAACTAAATTCCCTTATACAAATGTTTTGCATGAGATAAAGTTTCCTTTCTTGCATGTAATTTGTAAAAGGTTTTGTTAACAAACTTTATTGTTAAACATTATATAATGTGGGTGAGATTTGCTAGGAAATGTTGCCATGTTAACGATTTGAACGAACGGAAGAATATTTTCATAGATTATAGCAGCTTTTTAAATAGGCTACCGCTACAATGTATTACAGCAATATTTAACTAAATTAACCATCTTAAATTGGACTATGTATCAAAATGTTATAGCGCTTAGAAAACTATTTTACTGTTTCAGATTAGAAAATGCATCATAAACATTTTATATCTTACCCAAAAGTGTCAAAAAGCACTCTAGATAAAAGAAATTTCGGAAAAACATACCACATTATCCACTTGTCAGAAAGTGTTTCGAAAGCTAAGCTAGACTTACATTCTATCAGGGCTTAATTACGAATGTATAGAATCTCTTGAAAAATTCAAGTCAGCACTGTATTGTCTTTAAACAGTCCACATGACCTATGTTTATAAAAGAGGTCTCCTAAAAGTTTGAAAGGAAATGAAAAGAGATATTATAGAAATATATTTATATATAATTGAACGTTTTTCACATCACATACTTTTAATATTAAAATTGTATCCCTTATATACTTTTGCAAAGTTTTCTTTATGCTTGATTTAAGGTACTATAATAGACATTTCTCCAATAACTTGCAATAAATTGACCTCTTAAAGGTTGAGACAACTAACATGAGTTACAGAACTTTAGAAATGCGTTTGGATTGTTTATCATGTTTGATTCTTGTAACTAAGAGAACAGAGGGACTGATAAAAAAATTACACATTATGCATAATGGATCATTCAAACAGAAAAAAACGCACTGCAAGAAATAATTAAACTATGATTAAATTATATTAGTACATATGTTTTGAATATGTTTTCGAGCATTGAGCTTAAAGTTTATTCGTATGCCTAGTCAAAATGTAAGGAGAGACAATGTACCATCTAACAAGATAGATGCAAATGTTAACAAATATTTAATCTACATGGGAATCCTGATAATAAAACACATTAATATAGTAAAATTTCACTTTCAATTTAGAGATGCATAAGCATATGTCCATATTAACCAAAATACAAGCGTAAGTTTGTACATATTCAGTTGTAGCAGATTGTTATTCAGTTAATGCACTTGCTGTCTCAGTTGTAGTACAATCTGCTTCAGTAAGTGGACTATGTCCTTTGAAAAGAGTCAAACTTGGTGAATGATTGATTTACTATATAAAACATAAACACAAATCTGGAGCAAGAGTGATCTCTCGGAAGCATTAATCACAACAAAATTACTTGATAATTGCAGACTCTGTTTGATTGAGTCTGTTTATGAGGGATAACGAAAAAATGCAACATTCCTTACGTCCCCTAGCACCAGCTTGAGCGGTATTCATTTTTAAACACTTAAAAGTGCTGGATTCAATTATCCCGAAGGACCAGAAAAGACAACACTGAAGTAAAATACAGAATAACTTTTATAGCTCCCACACGACACTTACAAGCTAGGTTGGTTTGGTTTGGTTGGTTAGTTGTTACGCTGAATCTAACATAATTTTGGTAAAATCTTGTCAATCGATTAATGTAACCGGCATGCTTGGATAATAATCTGGTACTATAAACGAATGTATTTGCAAGTGACCGACTACTAACCCCGCATCATTTCTAAATCAACAGTGAGATACAAATGACTATTAGACCTACTTATACCTGTTGCTAGTGAATATCATCTTGGAAATCAACTTTTGAGAGTATAAAAGAGCAATATATTGATGGATACTTTCGAATTTGGTAGTGATATCTAGTTACAATGAGACAGATAATTCGCTTATAGAAACAACTTACACTTGAGAAATTCCAAGTCATCTCTGCTTATCCATAATATAAGATAAAAACTGACCGAATTTTTAGACTTGAAATAGTTACAAACGTAAAAATGTATCGAAGTCACTAGAAATTCGGAAATAATGAACTTTTAAATTAGGCGTACTACTTATTATTTTCTCAATATTTTTCTCAAAGTAAAGTAATAATTTCTTTAAATATATTTTTGGACCATTTGATCATAGTGCATAGAAGATAATTAATGAATTAATACAATAGATTAAAGCAGACTTTGCTAGCTCTAGAACAAGGAAGAAATGTCGCAATTTGAATAACAGTTACATTGTAAACTGGATTGACTTTGTTTGAGGACACAAATAGAAAAATGTACAGCTTTATAATAAACACAGTAAGAAAAAATACACAAAAAAGTAAGTGTATTTCTTATGTTAGAAAAATTAAATTATAATCATAAATATATCAAGTGTTTCGAATTTCACGCGTCAGGCAATTTAATGCCAAGAAAAATATGTTAGAAATAATCATGCACGTTTAAAAGACAGCGAAAGTTATTTTAGAACTACTAAAACATCAGGATATTTCCCTAGCGTGCGTATCTGTATTTAAACATTGCAAGTGCTTTTCATTTTAATATAATAACATCTATGCTTAGTTTTTAGTGTCTTACACTAAAAAGTTTGATTAAAAAATAAACGTGTTTATATAAACAATAAAATGGACTTATCCGAAGTATAGAGAGAGTAGATCCGATGATAAACTTTTACAGTAAAACCCATTTTAATCTGATTTTGAGTGGTTTTATACTACATCATTTCATATCTCAAGACACGATAACTGATTTTTATTGTGTTTAACAATCGGAACAAGTAACAAATAATTTACACATCAGCGATATTTTGTAAATCTTATTTAATCTGATAATTAACACTAATAAGATGCTAAACCACTAAACTTAAGCCTTGGGCATGGAGCACATACTTCCTGGCGCTACAATATCATTTTGTTCTTTTTGTTACATATATAGGTTTGTAAACATTCATTTTTAAAATCGATGACGATGTTTTTATTTATAGATAAGGACATGAGCTGGATCTTTATTTAACATTTTACGCAGGTAAAAAGTCCTGAGGTGTGTTTTATTGATAACACAGATATTCTGCGTTTCTATTCAATCGACTAAAGGTATTTTATATTCATGTGTCCATCAAGTGTTGAAACATGGCTTACAGGAAGCTGTTAATGGAAAGTTCTTGCAATGAAGTAACTCAGGAGATGTTTGAGAATTATTTTGATAATGATATCGATACCGAAACAGATTTTGTCGGAAGAGAAAATAACTTGAATGTGTTAAAGATAGCATGGCAGAAGCACAAACTATTTGGCATTTTTGGACAGAAGGCGGTTGGAAAATCCAGGCTGGTGACAGAGTTTTTAAAGAGCACAAAGTCAGGTAGTTTTGTTCATATTTTTATAGATATGAAGTTAATATATGATACAAACTCATTGTACTCGAAGATATGTGCGAGTTATGGCATTGAACCAGAGTTACAAGCAGAACAGTCCAGCAGGTGGATTTATCATATCTGTGACACTCTTAATGCTGCCTGTAAAAAACGTTTCATCATTTTCTTCGACAATACCGAAGATTGGCAAGACTTAAAAGGAACTGATATTCGAGACTTCTTCTTTTCATTGTGTACTAATTTAGTCCGACAGTGCTCAAATGTGAAGATTTTCATTACTTCTACAACACGTGTACAGTTCTCACAGATAAAGAAGGTCTACTGCAGTCACGAGGTACTGCCTCTAAACCAAAGGGAGACGCGTCAGTTACTTAAACCTGTAATTGAAGGCGTAGAACTTGGTAAATACGAAAACGATATCGCAGATTTATGTGAAGGGATGCCTCTACTAATTCTAATGGTCGGATCTGAGCTAACGGAAGATAGCGGCATGATAACACCTAAAGACATGGTCGAGTTCTTGCTCACTTGTAGACTGAAAGCGCTGAGTCGGGAGTTTTATCCGAAGGAAGATAGAGTCGGTAATAACTGCTTTTTAGTCTTTTGAAATCTTAATGTATTACCCCACATTACAATACGAAACATTTGTGACACATGTTAACCTAATTGGTCACGATAATTGAAATATGCTGTCAAGGTACTTTTAATATGTATTGAGCTCTTTATAATGATGCAGATTTACGGGTTATGTTAATAAAGCTACTGAGCTTAAAAAGATTCTATATTTAATTCATATAGTTTTTGTTTTGCCTATGAGCTGTATGATTATAAGGCTAATTAATATTGAAAACAAAGGTCAAACATGGTATTCATTTTTACAGCTGACGTGTGTAAAAAGTTCATTGACCGCTTAGATACTGTATACAAGAGACGACTGACCATACTCGAATATATTCCTGGATCGTTTAACGCAGAACAAGCCAAGGAAATACTAAGTATTCATGATCGCTTTTTAACATTAAGCAAAAGTAACGGACCAGCAGTTATTTTGGTGTATTTATAATAAGAACATTTATTTTAAAAAGAATTAAACGATGATACATTTAACAATCAAGTTAATATTTATTTAATATTTCTGATGCGAAATATACAAAATATATTGTTCTTCAGATTCCCAATCAATTGCAACGGTGAAAGATCAAACACTTATTCCAATACGGAGACGACATGCACTGAATTATGACCCCAACACGAGAATGTTTAGCATACAGGGTATACTTCGAGAGTGTATTAAAACATTCTAAACGATCAAGAATATACCAGGTTATTATTCTGTTAAAGACTGAAAATCATAATTTATTCAAATGCATATAAAAACTTTATTCCTTCTCATAGAAATAATACAGTTGAAGTAGTCATTTCCTGAACAACTCGTGCTATGTAGGTCAAAAGCATAGCCTAACTAAGAAGGTTACGAATCAACACAATTAGCAGATTAACATAAAATATCTTGTCTAAAAGTCTCATGGAATGTTTTTAATATCAAAGAAATTAATGCCGGAAAATGGCATGCCACCACATAAAACTTGTCAACGTGTTTAGAATGCTTAGCTTAAGTGTTCATATACTCAAGGTCTTATGCCAAATACATTGAAACTCTTCCGAATCATAACATTTTTATTGCATATTCGAACATACAAATTGCCCAACATGCTACGAAAAGCATTTCCATGAAGACAACGACAGTGCAATATAAACATTGTATAAGTGTAAATGTACATTTACCAAGCTTGTAAATAATGTTTTAAAGTTTCAATTGAACCAAATAAAAAACCAATGTAACAGTATACCCGATCTCAAAAGTGTCGAATAATTTCTTTTATTTTCATTTTAATTTGCATTTTCATATATTGTCCAACCCAATTGATAACTGTTAGTAAAATTTGAAAATGTAGGAGTAACCCTATTTCGTTTGTATCAACAAAAATATTTCTTATATTCAAAGTAAAGAATATCTTTTGGAAATTATCTGTTTCTGGTTCTCGCAAAAATAATCTTACTGTTTGAAAGAGCCAAAGTAAAGTATTTTGATAATTTTTGAAGAAAAAAAAATACAATAAAGGCTTGACATTGCGATATTCAGGAGATACTTGATGTAATGTTTTATCCTCAATATTGCATAAAGAATCCTTCTTATTTTATATTACACAGTAACACTACGGTTTGTAAAACTCTATGGACTATTCTACATTGTAGCCATTGTATATAAGAATCTTTAATACTCTTAATAGCGGAACTATATAATTTATTCCATTTATTCCTTTATCATACAGTACATTTGTAAATACACGATCTATTTTTATACATGGTTTAATATAACGACAAATGTAAAAATTGTTAAACATGTATCTTTATTCATTTTGTCATTATATCATACCCTAGCATTTATGAAATCTTTCCGGAACCTAATTTAACTAAACAATTTTATCACAATAACATTTACCAAATCTTACGATTTTGTAAACATAAAATGATTTGGTACAAGTTTGTGGCATTATCTAAACACACATGTAATACAATTTCTAAGCAACTTTGTTTTTAAGATTTTCATATAACTTCTAATATCTATCACTTTAATTTGACCAGAATAAAGTGTTTTTCTTTATTTAAACAGATTTGTTTTTCAATTTTGTTTTACATTCCATACAAATTCTTTTAACATATCCTCTATTTTCTTCATATTCATCTGATGGCTTAGGTAGGCTTATAAATAAATGTTTCAACTGAGGTTATACGAGCAGTTCAACTTATACTTTATGATCAACACTGCTCTTGAACATATTTTCTAGATAAAAATCAAAGTAAGTGTACTCCGAGAAGTTAGAATGAAGCAGTCCCCTATGATACTTGCGTCTTGTTATAGTTTACACTTAATCCTGACAAAAGTGAATATATATATATATATAGAGACAATCTACAACATGTTTAAGGTGTGCTCTTTTATCATCTTAAAATTGAGAAGCATCATTTGTAATCTTATAATTCTAATTTTCTTTATTATCAATGTAAATACTCTTTCTATTTTTAAAATTTCTTAACTTAACAGAATGTAATGCAATTTTATATATATTATTCAACAAAGTAATAGGTCTCCAATTTTAAGAAAGCGATTTTCTATTTTTTTTTCTTTTGGTATACGTATAATTAACTACTTTTTTCATAAATCAAATTTATTCCCTTGTAGCTCCTAAATCCCTAAGTCTATTCCGTATTTTATACAAATCTCTTTCATTTTGATGACAAAGAAAAACACGCTCTAAACGAACAAGTTCTGATTGTAATTTCTCTAGGGTTTCATCATATCTATGCGTATTTTCTTGTTTCTTGTAGATGTCAGCCATTCGATCGAATGTATCAGCAATAACCAACGTGTGCGGCGTTGAAGTTATTACTTGTTCCTTAATTTGTAAAACCCTTTCACAATATTTCAAACTACATGGTAAATAGCCTTGTATCTTATATATGTCTGCCAAATGCGATAAACTCTCAATATACTGGGTATTGTTTGGTGCAATCTCCTGTCTAATTTCTACTGCTTTTCGGAACATTTCCCCAGCGTCATTATAACGACATTCTTCTTTATACACCAAACCTTTAGTGTGGCAGACACATGCTTTCGCTTCCTTCGGTGGGAGCTTTTCCTTATTTAACTTTTCAAACCCATCATCTAGAAGTGAATGAGCCTCTTTGAATTGTCTTAAAGGGATCATCATTTTAGCTGTACTGCACAGGGAGAGAACCGTCGATAAAACAGGAGCATTGCATCGTAGTTTCATATCAAGTCCTTTTTTATAGTATTCCATTGCTTTTTCGGAGTCACCGTTTAAATCATACATTTCACCAATGTTGTTAAAACAGACAGCTATTCCTGGATGAGTCTCACCAAGGAACATTCGGCGCCGCTTCAACGATTGAAAGTGGTACTTTTCTGCTTCTTTGAACTTCCCTGAAAAGACGAATTATTTTGATTCAAATGAAATAATAGAAAGAAAAAAATCTCTAAGGAGGAAAAAGAAGTTGTCAAATAGAAACTTGGAAATAGGAAACTTCTTAATTAACAATGTCATTCAAAACATATAAACTGGTTGTAAGAGAAACATTTATTGTTTTTAAAGGGAGACACAGGCAAAATTTTCATTTCTTATTTTTGAATTTTTATTCATTATTAATTAAATGTCCTCAACATAGATACACCAGGCAGTTAAAAGAACAAAACTTTTCTCCGTATAACGAAACAAAATGGTGGTAACCTATCTTGATCCACGTTGGTCAGCTAAGAGCGTTTATATTTCACAATAGATGTCACAGTGAACTATGGGAACGTTTAAAAACAAATCAAATGAATGACTTAGACTTGTTTCAATCATACAATATCCAGAATATCTGTTATTTTAACTTCCAGGGTTTGTTCAAGTCCCATGACTTGTTTTAAAACTACTCTGTGTTTCTATTTGCGTTTAAATTTCGTTTAACATATAGAGATATATTTACTCTTTAAACCCAAAATATGTAGAATTTATTTTTGAAAATTCATGCTAAGAATTTAAGAAATAATTTTAGCGTAATTTGAGTATATAAGATCATTTTAATATTTTTGTCATTATTTTACGTAAATATCCCTTTAAATAATACATAAATCACATATCTTTAATTTGTAACATGTCTTTCACTAATCGAAATACATATAACTGGAGTTTTTACAACTGCAATTAGTTACTATATGAAAATAAATGTGAAAACACAAACCTAAAAACGCAAACGATACTCCCATACTGTTTAATGATTGTACAGCAATTACTTTGAACTTTTCCCCCGATATCACAGTTATTGCCAATGATTTCTTGAAATATCTTAAAAGATATAAAGAATGTACTTGTAATTAATTTGCTTACGAGAGATAACGTGCATTAAAGCCATTGCTAGATATCTATTTGTTAAGGGATAAGACATTTTTGCCTGAAATGAAAAGTAACAAGAAGTAAGGAACTAATGCATAAAATGTATAATTAGCAGAGAACATATTCTAACTCTTACTTGAATATATGTTCATGTGTCAAATACATCATTTCATTCATACTAGAACTCCGCCAGTCGGATGTGTCGCCTTGTGAACAATATAGTTTAGAAGAAATGGCTAATATGAAAATTAACAAAGGCCAATAACTAAAAAAAAAGAAGTGCAGAACAGCAGTTTCTATGCACTGAACTATTTATCAATATGATCTATCATCCTATGAAGTTTCAAGTCCATAGCTTTTATGATTATGAGAAATGGTCTGGATAAAAATAAAGTATGAAAATTAATAAAGGGCAATAACTCAAAAGAAAGAAGTGCAGAGTACCGGTTCTTGTACACTGCACTTCTTCTTAATGAGATCTTTCATCGTATGAAGTTTCAAGTCCATAGCTTTTATACTTTAGGAGAAATGGCCCGGACAAAAATAAAGTATGAAAATTAACAAAGGGCAATAACTCAAAAATTAAGAAGTGCAGAGTACCGGTTCTTGTGCACTGCACTTCGGGTCATTATAGGAAGCATGCATACCAAGTTTGAAGTCAAAAAGACTTATAATGGCTGGCTCATGCTCCGGATAAGCTAAAAGGGGACGCCGACGCCGACAAAAGTAACTACTATATGTCGCCTTTTTCAAGGCGACACAAAAAAGCGTAAACAACTTGAAGTCGTACACGCAGATATGCGTCCACAAAGTCACCTTTAAGAATATTTTAAGCACTTTTAGATATATACCTTATAGCATCAGTGTTTTGTCCTTGAAGGAGTGTGTTCCAACCTACCCTTTGATAAGCTGTTGCAAGAAGTAAAGATCTTTCACCTCGAGGTTCTAGAATGTCCAATGCTGCTTTGTAGTGTGCTTCTCCTCCGAGTAAATTTCCCTAGAGTAAATTTTAATTGTGTCATATTCAAAATGTTCGTGAGCTGTTTCTTTTAATATACATTATCATTTCTATCATGTAAATAACATATTTATCACATGTACATTTTATTTACTTTTGTTTGCACACATGCATGACTGGTAGAAATGCTCATGTCTACAGTAAATTAAACTTAAACTATGAAATTATGTAAAACGAGAAACAAATTATTCAAATGCTTGTATATATTTCTGTGTACAACTTACCGTAGTATTTGTGTATAAACTTCCAACAGCAATGTTGATCGCTGCTTTATCATCGTCCTGGCCATACCTTTCCGCAGCCTGTAAACAGTGCTTATAAAATACTTGACCATTTCCTACAATAAAAAAGAAGCAGCTGTCATTAATGATTATCAATGATTCACAAATTCCTGTCGGCGTAATGAAACAAAAGCAAACCGTTTTAAAATATATCTAATCATGCCTGTCTTGAGTGTACCCTGATTACGTGTTTACATACCTGACATTAAGTGTTCAATCATTCCGGTACAGTTGGTCACCATTTCTATGAAGAACTTGTAATTGTCTTGAGCAGTGTTCTCTACTTCTATCAGCAGCTTTTGTAAGTTCGGTTGTTCAATAAAATATTCAGCCATAGCGTTTGTATAATCAGATGTATTTAGACGCTTGGAGATATTGATCATTACAGCAGAAAAGATTTCTATGTATCTTCGTCTTACTTCTGTAATTGACAAAACAATTTTTTTTTACAAAAAGTGTAGAGAATTAATGCAAATGTTCTGTCTAAGCAGCGATATTAAATTTTATTTTATTTTAGATAGTTTTATGTCACACTTATTAGAATCATTTGGAACCTGTCTACTTAATCGTCACTTTCTGTTTTGTTTAATATTTTATTTTATTTATATATTTATTCATGTTCTTTTATCTAATTCAAGTGTCAAACTATTATATTTTAATGTATTGAATTAAATTTCATATTAAACGACATGTGTTTACCTGGTAAATTTTTAATGATGTAGAATGACTTTATACATTCGCGTATAATTCCTTGAATTCCAAATCGTTTTGTATGTAGGTCATAATGAAGTATTTGACGTCTACGTGCAGGGAGTAAAATTTCCCCCATGACCATCTCCTCTGTATTTAAATCTGTAAAATTAAATTTATAATATACGTTTATAATAAATGTTTGGATAGAATACCAAAATCAACAGCTTGAAAATCTTCTGTAAAAAGTTGTCCTTCAAAGTTCCGGTGTTGTTTTAATATTTCTAGCCTCCAAGGGCATTTATTTTGATACTTTTAGAGTTTAGCATTAAATGCTTTCTAAGTTCACGCCAGATTTTCATTATCATTAGCACATGCAGTCAAACAAAGTCTTTTATCTTGCTTATTTAGTTTTAAAATGAAAGAACTTAAAGTAATTAGTTATGAATATGGCTAAACTACATATTAGACATCAGACCTCTTGTAAAAAGATTTAACATATTACCAATCTGCACAATAAAAATGTTAAATATGTAATACATCGATTGTTCCAACAATCAATTTTCAATATTTCTGAAAATAATTTTGATAAAAAAGGCCCTTTATGCCCCAGAAATATTTTTATTTTCATTTCTCGAAAGCATTCTATTTTGGTGTACTTTTATAGTTTTCATCTGCTAATTAACTAAACAATCCTTTCCTACTGCTGTTTTTGACAATAAGTACAGTTATAGCGATTTGTTATTTTGTATGGAAGTCAAAATACTTCTTTGTTTAGATTTTGCTTTTTTAAAGACAAATTGTTTCAGATTTAACGCAACTTTTTTTGGGCAACAGGCAGCTAACATGTTCTTAAACCATGATTTATAAGTTATAAAATTCATTTGTGTTTGCTGAAGAATGGAAAATTTAATCGTTTGTGAGGCGTAATGTGCCTTAAAGCAAATCATTTTTCTTCATTTATGAAAGTTATTGCAAATTTTCTTGAAATGAAAACAATACTTATAAACAAGGGGCCCAGAGGGCCCTGGATCGCTCACAAATCTTCACAAAGTTCCACTAGATGATGTAATACACCAAATATCATAGTATATAACTCAATGTAAAATTTATGACTCCCTGGAGGGGCCGCTTTTAACCCTTGGGACATGATTTGAACAATCTTTGTAAAGGACCACAAGATGATGCTACATACTACACATCACGACTGTAGGCCTTGTACATTTTGACAAGTGGATATTTTATATTTTCCTTAAAAACTCTATGTTAAACCGATAAGCCCCCACCCCCCTGGCTGGCTCCTTTTGACTCTAAGGGCTTAATTTGAACAATCTTTGTAGAGGGCCACTAGATGAAGTTACATACCAAATATCAAGGCTCTACGCCTTGTGAATTTTGACAAGATTTTTTACGATTTCCCAATATAACTTTATATGCAACTGATGAGCCCCCCTGACAAGGCCCCGTTTGACCCTAGGATCATAATTTGAATTATCTTTGTAGAGGACCACTAGATCATGTAACATACCAAATATCAAGACCCTACGCCTTGTGGATTTTGACAAGAAGATTTTCCCTATATAATTTTATATAAAAACGATAAGCCCTATGGCAGGGCCCGTTTTGATCGAAGGGGAATAATTTGCACAATCTTTGTAGAGGACCACAAAATCATGTTATATACCAAATATCAAGGTTCTAGGCTTTGTGGATTTTGACAACAAGATTTCTTTAAAGATTTCCGTATTTAAATTTATATAAAAATGATGAGCCCCCGGGCGGGACTCCTTTTGACCCTAGGGTTATAATTTGAACATTTTTTGTAGAGGACCACTAGATCATGCTACATACTAAATATCAAGGTCTTGGCAACCAGAGTTCTTCAAGAAATTTATTTTTATAACAAGGTTGGTAGAGCTTCATGCAAAGAACAACCTGCTAAGTTTCATTAAATTTGGCTAAGCGGTATTGGAGGAGAAGTCATAAGAATGAAACAGTTAACGCACGGACGGACGAAGAACGGTAGCCTACACGGTGTCACAAAAGATCACCTTATCATTTTGTGACGGGTGAGCTAAAAGGTAATGTTTTGTGAGTTCATATACACATTTTCTTTTATCAAAATCTTGAATTTGAACAATTAATATACATGTATTTAAAGTTCTTGTATTAAATTGTACCAAGTATTTGTTGTGCCTGTTCAGCACTGAATGATCCCGGGATGTATTCTAAAACAATGAGATGATTCTTATACACTCCATCTAGTCGATCAAGAAACTTCCTATAGACATCTCCTACAAGCATAAACAGTTATTCTATTGATTTGATAATTAATATTCTTAATTTCAAAATGTATCGACATTATATATAAATCGTATCCAATTTTTCTAAAATGTATGTTCTCTACAACGCTTTTCTAATATATAGTTTAAAGGAAAGTAGAGAAAAATATTCACATTAGTCTCCTGTACATTTTTGTTATCCTTAATCATGTAAGTGTTTTACTGAATATTGTATAGGGATGGAACATATGTTATAAATCCATCACTAAACTACTAAGACATGCATATACAAGATATTCGAGAGTGTTTCTATTAGCTAATAGCTTCGAATACAATCGAACAAAATAATCAAATTAGTATAAACTAAGACAAAACAGATAAGGGCCATAAAATATAGGTCAGTAGGCCATACAATAATATACATGTATATATATGATGAAATGTGATATCAATATCTTTGAATTTTTTCAAAATTGTAATTTCTTATGCATATAACTAAACTTAAGTTTACCAAGATGATATAATTTGAAAAAGTACCCTTTATCTAAGACCGATATATTTCTATTTCAAACCGTTGTGTAGAGCATTCATGATTTATATTAATACTGACAATCTTTATGACTTGAGAAAAAAATTAACAACCACAAGTTTTTAAAGCCCTGATAAATCATGCAAACTGCGTTTGCTACGATAGTTTTAATCTCCTTATCTGAATTCTTGTGTCAAATAAGTAATACCAAGAATGAAATGGTCAAGGATGGTTTATATTTTGTTGATGGTCTTACTTTAATCAGCTTTTATATCTTTGATACATAGTTATTACAAACACCTGGGCTCAGGGTTATATTTTTCTAGGCTCTGTCTCACATCTCAGGCTTTGCATTGGTCAGTGTACATTCTGTGACGTTTTCTAACTAGTTAAATACCTGAGATCTTAGTTAGAGCTGAGACAATTCTTTACATACTCTGACCCTGGTATGTTTGGTATGGTAAAATACAAAATATTAACCCAAAAGGAAAATATAAACGTCATAAAAATATAAACCTTCTTCCTGCTATAATATCCAACCATAGTATTTTACAACAGAAAATAGGTTTTACTGAACGCCGCCTTTCCTTGTTGACCTTATTTTTCATATTGTATATGAAAAATATACATATACTATAATAATTTAACAATTGTGTGATATTATTATGATGTTGGCAATCAAGAAAACTAAACCGTAACAGAATTACTTCAAGCATATAAATCTATAACCAAGAAGAGTGAGAGGAAAATGTAAAGGACTTCATATGACGCATTGCATAGAACTTTAATTCATATATGCGAGGTGGCTCGAACCTAAAGTAATAACAGTATGGAGGCATCTTAGGTATTCACACCAACAGTAGTAGTATGGTATTTTCTGTTTCTGTGTTTTAAAACATGCCAAAAAGAAGCATACAATGAAATAAAATCTTTATAAACTTATATATATATTTCAAATAATGTATTTTGGGATTTAATTAAAAGTGAATGCGTTTGGTACTTGATAGGTATAGTAAAACATCGTGAAAATCACAAAAAAAGATATTAAAACTGACAATTATGTTTAACTTAGATGCATTTTAACATTTTTGAAAGGTCAGAAAACTGTACCGACTCTATCTTCCTCTGGATAAAATTCTCTACTCAATGCTCTGAGTCTACCAGTGAGTAAAAGATTGACCATATTTTTCGGAGTTATCATCCCTGCGTCTTTTGTTAACTCTGATCCGATCATGAGGATCAGAAGCGGCAATCCTTCACTAAGCGTTATTAGTGCACTCTCATAGTCTCCTAGATCAATCTCCGAAGTCACGTTTTCCAGTAGCTGTCTTGCTTCAGTTTCATTCAAAGGTAGCAGTTCATGACCGTAATAAACTCTTCCAAGCTTAGAAAACTGAACTTGAGTAGTTGAAGTGATGAAAATCTGAACGTTTCTGCATTTCTTTACCATTGTGGTGCATAATCTCAAAAATGAAGAGCAAATGTTTTGATTTTCAGTATTTTGATAGTCCTCTGTATTGTCAAAGAAGAATAAAAACTCGTTTCCTGGTGCTGAATTTAGAAATAGCACGATATCATGAATCCATTGGTCAGATCCAGTCGACTCTTGATCAAAGAGTAGTTCCAAGGCTGTGCAGATGTTTCTATACAACGACACTATATCCGGCATCAACTTTATATCTATATGTATAACTTTGACTCCGCCTGGTTTAAATCTGTTCAAATATTCTTTCACAAGCCTTGATTTGCCGACTGATTTTATTCCAAATATACCAATTATCCTACAAACTTCCGATTCCTTATGTAACTTTTCAAGGTCATTTTCCCTGCCAACAAAGTCCGGTTCAAAATTATTTTGTACATGAAAATCACCGTTAAGAGAAAAATTATCTTGAACATTATCCGATTTACTTATCAAGTTATTTTTTCCTGCCATTTCGATATTCAAATGCCTAATTAATATTTTATTCAGTCATTTAAGATATTACTATGCAGCTACTACTAGACAGTCACATGTCAGTGCACACAACTGCATAACTGCACGTACCCATGATATTTGATATTTGTGCAGTACTCAAGTGGTGCACAATGTATGCTGAAATCGCTACTTAACATGTGCAAAGTCCATAAGATAAATTTCGTTATCTTATTTTGAATTGCACAGAAGTCCCCGTTCGCAGGGGTAGCTTTACATGAGATCTTTAAAATAGAACATGCGTCATATTTGAAAAACAAATATCTTTACTGTTTAAAACATTGTTTTGTGCAGTATTGTAATTTGTTGAAAAAAGATCCTACGCTTTAATTACGTAGAACTGCAAATTGTCTTTTCCATATAGAAAAGCTAAGATATCATTATTGTTAAATAATATTTGATATTATGAACAAATGTTAGATCAGTTAGTATTAATGAAATCTTAAAACTTTATTGAAAACATGATTCATTCAAAATTTGGAACACAATGAATGTTACACACTTGCTTTTTATTGATTTGTAATCTGAAAAAGAAATATTTCCGGTTTTTAACATAATTAAGTTAGTCTTAAATGTATTGATATGAAAGAAATGTTGCTACCTGATGGTATATGTTTACTACACATAGAAAATAAAAAAATAATATAACGGTATTTCGATGCATCAGTAAAGTATGAAAGGAAAGATCACCAATCGACAATCACTAAACGCAGTCCCAAACAGTACTCTGGATGGATGGATGGATGGATAGATAGATAGAGAGAGAGAGAGAGAGAGAGAGAGAGAGAGAGAGAGAGAGAGAGAGAGAGAGAGAGAGAGAGAGAGAGAGAGAGAGAGAGAGAGAGAGACAGAGAGAGAGACAGAGAGAGAGAGAGAGAGAGAGAGAGAGAGAGAGAGAGAGACAGAGAGAGAGAGATGGATGGATGGATGGATTTATTTATTTATTTATTTCAACATAAGTATACATCTACATGACAATGACATGTTTCAAAACATACACACAACTTTTAGCAAACATGTATGAATGAAAAACAAAGCCATGTCAATCAACACTATATGTTAAGGATAGCATAAAAAAGTGTTATGACTCATTATAGATTTTATTTCTATTGTGGTCCTTAAAATATGACATTATGAGATATAGAAAAATTATAAGTATGTAAATAATTGTATCACAGTAAAATAAATAAGTATTAAATAATCACTTAAAGTCAGAAAAGAAAGATATGGAATATAACTAAATAACTGATAAAAAAGCATTACAGAAGTTGTTTACTATACAAGAGTGTCATGATGGCTCTAGATCGCTCACCTGACCAATCGAACTCATCCGAACAATTACCTTGACAAGCATTCTGACCAGGTTTCATGACAGGTGAGTCAAAAATGTGACCACTAGAGTGTTAACAAGGATTATCCATATTTAAGCAGTGTGACCTTGTCTTTTACCCAGGTGACCCATATTCGAACTTGACCTAGAAATCATCAAAACAAACATTCAGACCAATTTTCTGGATACTTGGATCAAAACAGTAGCCACGAGAGTGTTAACAAGATTTGTTTCATTTTAAGCTACGGTGACCTAGTTATTAATGTGTGATGACCCATGTTCAAACTAATCCGAGCAATTACCTAGACAAGCATCCTGACCAAGTTTGATGACAATTGAGTCAAAAAAGTGAAACCACTAGAGTATTAACAAGGTTTTTCTATTTTTAGCTCCTGTGACCTAGTTTTTCATCCGAGATGACCCATGTTCAAACTCATCTGATCTGTCACTTAGACAAGCATGCTGACAAAGTTTGATGACACTTGAGTCAAAAATGTGACCGCTAGAGTGTAAACAAGGTTTTTCTATTTTTAGCTCTTGTGACCTAGTTTTTCATCCGAGATGACCCATGTTCAAACTCATCCGAGCTATCAACTAGATAAGCATCCTGACAAAGTTTGATGATGATTGTGGCAAAAATGTGACCAAAAGAGTGTTAACGAACAAGTGTGGACGGCAAGACGACAGACGACGGACGACAGACGACGGACATTCAACGATCCTAAAATCTCACCCTGAGCAAGTTTAGGTGAGCTAATAAAAATGTATACACTGTGTATTTGAAGTTTCTATATAATAAGCACAATAAATACACATAATCAAAGTATACAATTTAAATGCAGAGTTACAGCATACAATTTAAAGACTGGAAAAAATACATAAGAAATAGAAAAGTTATAACTTAATTTACTAAAAATGTAAACGGGATCATTAAAATGAACATGAATACATATGGCAGTTAAGAAAGACAAACTAGAAAAATACATTTAAACTGCACTAAGGAGATGATTGTTACCTCTATGCTTTAAACAGATAATGAAATGGGTGTCCCTTATGTTCTTTGGTAGAGAGTTCCATACACAGCAACCAATGTAACTAAAAGTGTTTTTACAACAGGGACAGTACATCACCATCAATTGAGCGACAAAGTTTGCCCCTGGACCTAGTGAGGTATTTGTGAACATTACTCACTGTAGTAAACTGTTCGCCTAGACAAAAAGGGGCCTTATCAGAATGGATTTTAAACACAAGAGAAAGGGTAATTTTGTCAACTCTCTTTGCAACTGGTAACCGTTCAACCTTCAAAAACTGGTCATGACCTATATGTGACCTGGATCCAGATCAAGAACATTCCTTATCAATTTATTTTGGGTAACCGGTAACTGATTTTTCAAAGCTTTTGGTAAAAGCATCTGAGTTAAACCAGACAACAGAGGCACAGTCATAATGACACTAACAAAAGATGAGACTAGAAGTTTTCTAGTATAATAATTGACGAACTTACTTTTCCTATACAGAAATTTTACCGACCTTTTGATGTTTGACTGTCAGTAAGGCATCCAGCTTAAAACACAATCATACATACAGGCTATATTAGCAGGACAGTACAAGTGAACAACACTACAATGAACACGAAATAATCCTTTGAGTATGGAAACATAACGATAGTGTTTGTATATTTATGGAGAATTTTATAACAGCCGCAACACGGAACAAACAACGCGGCTGTGAACGTTTATAGCGCTGTATGTTAGGCTGAAGACGATATCTATGACTCGTAACTTTGCTAACCATTATTCTTCCAATTGCAATTCTAGATGCATTGTGCTATAATAATAAAATAATTCATTTATGATAGTTATGCTAATTTAAGACAAGGATCCACAATGGTCAATAAATAAATTGATTCCATTTATCCTCATCTTGACTTAAAACCACCTTACATTCACCCTGGCAAACTTGAGAATGTTTTATGTTATGAAGCTACCCGAAGGTCTACGCCATATGAACATATCTGCGGATATTTCAAAATTCCAAATTTCACCAGATCATTTTAAATGTTGAATTTTGCTTAAGCCGGAGCTAGGGGGCATGTACGGTAACTTACACTTACCAGTACCGTCCATGAACAGGCTCAATCAAACCCAGTCTTCACCATTTTCAATTTTGCCATGTTGATGCTTTCTTGAGGGTGTGAGAAACAATAATTTGACATTTCAGAGATAAAATACACAAAGCAACAGTCCAACATCGTTAAGTAGTTGAAATTTACATTTAGTACAATAAGATTGCTCCATTTTCTTTTTTTTTTGAATATATTTAAATCATCGTGTCGGTATTAAATTAGCCGATATAATTGTTAGCGTATCACACTCGCGCGGTATATTTAAAGATTTAGACTATACATGTAATTTAAGCCACTATATAGGTGACAGATTTGATTTCATGCTGACTAATAGACACTAACCTTAAATTATGAATTCAAATGATTTTAAAATTTGAGAAGACACCCTGGACATGATAAGATACCAACAGTTATGGCTCAGGCTAAGACATAAATATTTGTGTTTTTTAACATAGTTATTAACAATATAAATACATTGTAAATCAAATCATTTCAAAATTGATAATATTATTGTTGCTATTAATGAACGAAATTTTATTTTAAAACTAGAGCTACACACCTTAAATGTACATTGTAATCTAAAATGCTTGTGTTACAAGAAACAAAACAATATATATAATGTACAACACGTACAATTGCATATTAAACACAGTATGAAAAAATACATACAAAATATAAATGGAAGTCACATGTTACAAGTATTTTGAGTTTACTTATTAAATGTATAATAAATATATCAAGTATTTGGAATTTCGCGCGTTGATCGCGTTTTGATGATTAAGTTTAAGTGTCTTTATTGTCACTTTGACCTCAGTAGAAGTTAGTTAGTTTATCAATTCGTAATTAAATGAGTTTACCTTATGGTTTTATTAATTGTTAATATTAACCTTTAAACTGCACATATAGGCTACAAAAGCAAAGTCAGACCTGTTTTTGACCGAGGCAAATGAGTTTGCTCCGGGCGCATGCTTTATAATTCATTTCATTTATTCCTTTCACATACAGTACATTTGTAAATGCACGATCTATTTTATACAATCTCAAAAATACGTACTTATGTAAAAACTGTTATAGATGTATCTTTATTCAATGCAATTTAATGCATAGGCATGATATAATGACATCTTTCTTGAATCTATTTTTATTTGACCAATCTTCTCATAATAACATTTACAAAATATTATTAGTTTGTAAACATCAAATGATTTGACTCAAGTTTGTGATATTAACTTCACCAACATGTTATACAATTTCCAAACCATTTTGTCTTTAAGCTTTTCATATAACTTATGATATATATCGTTTTAATTCCACCTGAATCATGTTTTTTTTATTTAAACAGATTTGTTTTTTTTCTATTCCATATAAATTCTAATAGCGTATCATCTTTTTTCTTAATATATTCATCTGATGAATTTGGTAATGTTTCAACTGAGGTTTTACGAGCAGTACAGCTGATTTAACAATTAAAAAAGTCAAATTCCTTCTTTTAGCAAGATTTGTGATATTATTTCATTTTTGATACTTGATGATCAAATTTAATCTTGAACATATTTTCTAGATTTAAATCAATTAGCATTCCGAGAAGTAAGAAAGAAAAGGTGACCCTCATGATAATTTAAACATATCTAGATGAATACTTGTCATACTTGTCATAGTTTACACTTAATCCTGACAAAAGTGAGTATCTATAGAGTCCATCTTCAACATTTTTAAGGTGTCCTCTTTATCATCTTAAAATTGAGAAGAAAACTAATTTATCTAATTTTCTTTATTATCAATATAAATATCTTTTCTATTTTTACTATTTCTTAACAGAAGGTAATGCAATTTTATATATGACATCCAAAAAAGTAATAGGTCTGCAAATCTTTAGAAAGCGGTTTTCTTTATTTTCTTTTGGAATACGTATAACTATTCCTAATTTGACATTTAAAAAAGGCTATTAACAAAAGCATTGTGCTTTAACTTACATGGAAAGAAAACTATGGCGCAACACTCTTTAAATAAAAAATATGCGAGACTAGATCCCGCCATCTTGAATTTCCAAAGAAACTTAAAAAATATGACTGCATAGTACTAATTTTACAAACACGCTAAAGCTGGATGAAATATTAGTAAAACAAGGGCACCGCTAGGCGGAGCATTATATGCCCGAAAGTGTGTTTTTTTAGTAAGGATGAAGCATTTGTAAGACATAACATAAACTAAATAAAGTATTACCTCCTCCAAATAGCAATCCTCCTATAAAGTTTGAATATTGTGGGCCAAATGGAACTTAAGTAATACTCTGGAAACTGTTTTTATTTTTGAGGTAATAGCGACCTTGAACTTTGATCTTGTGACTCCAAAAGCAATCGGGGTGTTCTACACAATATGGAAAATCATCCTATGAAGTTTGAACACTTTGGGCCAAATAGAAATTAAGTTATGTTCTGGAAACTGTTTTCAGTTTTTTAAGTAATAGTGACCTTGACCTTTGACCTTGTGACCCTAAATCAATAGGGGTATTTTACCCAATATGGACAATCATCCTATTAAGTTTGAATATTGTGTGCCTAATAGACCTTAAGCTATGCTCCGGAAACTGTTTTCAGTTTTAAAGTAATAGTGACCTTGACCTTTGACCTTGTGACCCCAAAATCAATAGGGGTCTGCTACCCAATGTGGACAACCATCCTATGAAGTTTGAATATTGTGGGACAAATAGACCTCAAGTTATGCTCCGGAAACTGTTTTTAGTTTTGAAGTAATAGTGACCTTGACCTTTGACCTTGTGACCCCAAAAATCAATAGGGGTCTTCAACGCAATGTGGACAATCATCCTTTGAAGTTTGAATATTGTGGGACAAATAGACCTTTAGTTATGCTCCGGAAACTGTTTTTAGTTTTGAAGTAATAATGACCTTGACATTTGACCTTGTGACCCCAAAATCAATAGGGGTCTTTTACCCAATATGGACAATCATCCTTTGAAGTTTGAACACTGTGGGCTAAACAGAACTTAAGTTATGTTCCGGAAACTGTTTTCAGTTTTAAGGTGATAGTGACCTTGACCTTTGACCTTGTGACCCCAAAATCGATAGGGTTCTTCTACACAATATGGACAATTATCCTATGAAGTTTGAATATTGTGGGCTAAACAAAACTGAAGTTATGCTCCGGAAACCAAATTGCTAACGGAGGGATGGTCGTTCTTACCAGAGCTACATTATGGGGTTTTCTTTTGTTATTTCTTTTGTTCTTTTTAACCCCACAATGCAGAAAATAACCCCACAAGAGAAACGGAATGAATGACATCAAAGACATCTATTGTTATGAGAACAATAGACCAAACCCCATAATGTAGCTCTGGTTTGTACGGACAGACGGACGGACGGATAGACAGACGGACGGACGGATGGACGCCAGGGGGTATAACAATGTATGCCGAAATTCTTTCGGGCATATAAAAAAGAAAACTTAGACCAATAAACGAAATCTATACGTTACATGTTTGTCTTTTTCGGACGAAGTCCGACCGAGAACGGTTTGACTTTCTGTAAAATTTACAGGAAAGAGCTAAATAATAGTGGGATTTTTATTTGTCATTTTGAAATAAAGGATCTTTCTGAAGCGTATATACGTCCAAAGTATAAAATAATCTATAGGGGTTTCTGAAACAAACTTTCTAGCTAAATTCCTAAAATTTCTATGAGAACCTCCCAATACATTGACACTGATTTTAAATGTTTCATTAATTAAAATGAATATCTTACTCAACATAAGAATATACCGAGTTTCAAATGACATTCTATAAGTCTTGCCCAAAATGACGAGACTACCCATAACGTTTAGGATCCCGGACACATATGTGCCTACCGAAAGACACCAAATTCAAACAGAAAGAAAACACCCAAAGAAATAGTTTAACTATGATTAAAGGTTATATAAATACTTTGTCTACGTTTAGATTTGTTTTATACTATCATAAATATGATTTTTCTCTGATGACAAATTCTAGATTGACTATAGTATGAGTTAGGAAATAATGTCAAGGCTTTAGTTCTATGATTGCTGGTAAATTTAACTTTAGAATATAGTATAAGTAGTAAAGTATAAATTATGCTTTGAAAGTTGCCAAAAATATACACATAGAAAACTGCTTGGGTCTAAAACCCTTAATGTATTTCTATGATCAAATGCAGTAGGTATATACATGATAGCAAAATGATAAATGCTCATTTGATATGTAAGTCAAACTATGGTGAGATAAAGGCCATTTTTTCAATTTTAATACGGGAAGGTGAATTCAAGTGCCTTATTTATGTATTATTTCACAAAGGAACTTTACACATGAGTATAAAAACAGATTTTTAGCTATTGGATTGAGTCACCCTGCATTTAACTATTTTGCATTAAACAAACTTATTCCCTTGTATATATACCACAATGAACCACTTTAAAACAGGCATCTAAATCTCTTACTCTATCCCGTATTTTATACAAATCTCTTTCATTTTGATGACAAAGGAAAACCCGCTCCAAACGAAGAAGTTCTGATTGTAATTCCTCTAGGGTTTCAACGTATCTATGCGTATTATCTTGTTTCTTGTAGATGTCAGCCATTCGATCGAAAGTATCAGCAATAACCAACGTGTGTGGCGTTGAAGCTATTACTTGTTCCTTAAGTTGTAAAACCCTTTCACAATATTTCAAACTACTGGGTAAATAGCCTTGTATCTTATATATGTCCGCCAAATGCGATAAACTCTCAATATACTGGGTATTGTTTGGTGCAATGTTCTGTCTAATATCTACTGCTTTCCGGAACATTTCCTCTGCGTCATTATAACGACCTTCTTCTTTATAGACCAAACCTTTAGTGTGGCATACGCACGCTTCGGCTTCTTTCGGTGGCAGCTTTTCTTTCTTCAATTTTTCAAACCCATCATCTAGAAGTGAATGAGCTTCTGTGAATTTTCTCAAAGGGATCATGATTTTAGCTGTACTGCATATGGAGAGAACCGTCGACAAAACAGGAGCATTGCATTGTAGTTTCATATCAAGTCCTCTTTTATAGTATTCCACTGCTTTTTCAGTGTCACCTTTTAAATCATACATTTCGCCAATGTTGTTAAAACAGGCAGCTATTCCTGGATGACTCTCACCTTGAAACATTCGACGCCGCTTCAATGATTGAAAATGGTACTTTTCTGCTTCTTTGAATTTCCCTAAAAAGACGAAATATTTTAATATAAATGAAATGATAGAAAGAAACGACATCTTGAAAGACAAAACTAATGTTTTCAAATGGAAATTTTAATGTGTGTAAATAATAATTAACACATATGTTCTATGTGTTACACAGAAATGTGAAAACATACCTAAAAACGTAAACGATACACCCATACTGCTTAACGATTGCACAGCAGTTTGTTTGAACTTTTCCCCCGATATCACAGTAATTGCCAATGATTTCTTGAAATATCTAAAATGATAGCAAACATATACCTTTAGATTATTTGTTTTTGAGAGATCACGTGCATTAAAGCCATTGATTTACGATATCGTATATCGATTTGTATAGTTTATCTTTAAACAATTTTGCCTGAAATGAAAATTTGCAAAAAGGAAGTAACTAATTCATTTAATATATAATTAACAGAAAACACTTTTTAACTATTGCTAATTTGAATATATTGTCATGTGAACAATACATAATTTTATTAATAAAAAGTGTGAACAACAACTTGAAGTCTGCACACAGTCACCGTAAGAATATTTTAAGCACTATTAGAATATACCTTATAGCATCAGTGTTTTGTCCTTGAAGAAGTGTGTTCCAACCTATCCTTTGATAAGCTGTTGCAAGGAGTAAAGATCTTTCATCACGAGGTTCTAGAATGTCCAATGCTGCTTTGTAGTGTGCTTCTCCTCCGAGTAAATTACCCTAGAGTACATTTTATTGATGTCATTTTCAAAATGTTTGTGAGCTGTTGTTTTTTTTTAAATATTCATTATCATTATTTCATGTGAACAACAATTTTATTGCACAAAAACATGTACTACTTTGGTAGAAATGCACATGTTTTCAGTAAATTAAAATTGAAATATGAAAATTGGTATATAAGGAAAACAAAGCTATTCAACTGCTTGTATATATTTGATAAATACCGTTGTATTTGTGTACAAACTTCCAACAGCAATGTTGACCGATGCCTTATCCTCGTCCTGGCCATACTTTTCCGCAGCCTGTAAACAGTGCTCGTAAAATACTTGACCATTTCCTACAATATAACAATAAACACAAAGCAGATGTCATTAAGGATAATTAATGTTTTACAAATGCTTGTAAGGAGAGATACAGCGATAGTTATTAAACAAAAACAAGCCGTTTTAAAATATATTTAACTACGCCTGTCTTGATTTTACCATGATGAAGTGTTAACATACCTGACATAACGAAACATGGGAAACGTTTTTTTAGCCAAAATGTTTACACCAAGACACAAAGATTGGGCTATAAATTCTGGCAAAAAAACATGCGTTGTAGCAAAAAGGACCATCAGTATAGAGGGTTATTGTATGACATTTCTTTAACAACTCAGAATCCTGTCATTTGGGTTGCTGTTCGTAATGGTAAACCTGTTTATGCATAATTTTACATGAAAACAAATACTTTCGGAAACGTACAACCGCAACAGGGTTGACAAATGTCAATAAATATTTACGTGCTTCGATGGTTCATAAATGAACACTCCTCGTGGAACCTGTTAAAACATATTGAATTATACCTGACATAAAGTGTTCAATCATTCCGGTACAGTTAGTGACCATTTCTATGAAGAACTTATAATTGTCCTGAGCAGTGTTCTCTACTTCTATCATCAGCTTCTGTAAGTTCGGTTGTTCAATAAAATATTCAGCCATAGCGTTTGTATATTCAGATGTATTCAGACGCTTGGAGATATTTGTCATAACAACAGAAAAGATTTGTATGTATCTTCGTCTGATTTCTGTAATGTGATATAATTGATATATCAAACAGCTGGCTGTAAAAAACATGCAAATGTGCTGTCTAACAACGATATTAATTTGGTTTTCATTTTTACTTAGTTTTAAGGCAAACTTATTATTTTGTCTATTTCATTTTCACTTTCTGTTTGGTTTAATATTTTATTTTGTTTATATATTAAATCATGTTCTTTAATCTAACTCAAATGTCAAACTATTATAATTAAATGTGTTGAATTAATTTTCATATAAAACGACATGCGTATACCTGGTAAATTTTTAATGATGTAGAATGACTTTATACATTCGCGTAGAATTCCTTGAATTCCAAATCGTTTCGTATGTAGGTCATAATGAAGTATATAACGTCTGCGTGCAGGCAGTAAAGTTTCCTCCATGGTCATCTCCACTGTATTTATATCTGTGAAATTATGTTGATAATATACGCTTATGAAAATACATGAAAAGAATGCTTTAAATTGTTCTGAAAAAAGTTGTCCTTCAGAATTCCGTGTTGTTTAAATATTTTTATCATTAGCACGTGCAGCAAAATAGTTTTTGTCTTGCACATTTAGTTCTGTTTCTAAGGTTTCCGAGGTATCTACTTATTTACCGATTCATTTGTCTCAAATGCATTATGCAGTAAAGTTACATAATGAAAGACTCTTAAGTAATTAGAAATAAATGTGTATAAACTACATATTTGCTTTATGACTTTTTGTTAATAAATGAGATATTACAAAACTCCACAAAATGAGAAAATGTTAGATATGTAATACATTTTAAAAAATCTATTTTTTTTATTTTCTGACACAATTATTTTAAGCAAATCAATATTTTTCATCGAATGAAAAGCTATTGCAATTTTTTTTTAAAAAAATGAAAACAATATAAAACAATATTTATAAAAATAAGTAATTTTAGTGAGTTTATATTTAAAAAAGAAGTAATTTTTTCAATTTATCAATTTAAAGTCCTTGTATTGAATCTTACCAAGTATATGTTGTGCCTGTTCAGCACTAAATGTTCCTGGGATGAATTCTAAAACTGTGAGATGATTCTTATACACTTCGTCAAGTCGATCAAGAAACTTTCTGTAGACATCTCCTACAAACATTGATCATTTTATTCTTAAGTTCAAAATGTATCAACGTTTTACTTTAATCGTGTTCAATGTTTCTATAATACAATGTTCTCTATAACACTTAAATAAAAAGGATTATTGAAACTGGAGAAAGGTATTCACTTAAATCTCTTGTACATTTTTGTTATAAATTATTTATGTGTTTTACTGGATCGAACAACTAATGCAAGACATACAAGATATTCGAGAGTGTTTTTTATAAGCTTATAGCTTTGAATACAAATAAGCATTGAACTAAATTTGGCAAATTGCACAGTCAATATTTAAAATAACAAAAAGTAACATGACATTTGATCACTAAATTGTGCATATTAAAACTGCGACAAGTATTAACATTTGAATGATTGGCGCCACGTTATCAGTTTCTGTAGCACAGAGTAATTCTTTTTTCCAGGACATTACATTTGCCTATCTAAGAATACTACAATTTCTATTAAATTCAGAGGAAAGAAAAAAATATTCATGAATAGTATGCCAAGATGATAGTATGTGTCAAAGTACTTTTATTTAAGACCGGTTCATTTCACCGCTGTGAAGAGCACATTCATGATTTATATTGACAGACTTGGAAAAAAATGTAACAACCACAAGTTATTTTATAGACCCAATAAATCATGCAAACTGCGTTTGTTACAATCGATCGTTTGAATTTCCTTTTATCTGGACTCTTTTGTCAAAAAAGTAATACCTAGAAAGAAATTCTCAAGTATGTTTGATATTTCGCTTACGATTTTATTTTAATTAGCTTTTTGTATTTTTGAGACATAATAGTAATAACAAGTACCGGGCCTCGAAGTTATAAAACATTTTTTTGGGTTCTATTTTAAATCTCAGGATTTTCATTTGTCAGTGAACATTCTGTAGTCAAATACCTGAGATCAGAATCATTTGCAACATTGGACCCTGGACTATGTTTGGTATGGTAGATAACAACAATGTCAATTCAGAAAGGAAAATATAAACGCCATAAAATATGAACCTTCCTTTTGTAACATATCCAACCATAGCATTTTATAACAGAAAATAAGTTTAAATATACATGTATTATAATTTAACATTATTGTGATATTACGATAACGTTAGAAATCAAGAAAATTAAATTGTAACAAATAGAAATCTATACTGTAACCAGGGGTATCGATGTGTGAGTGGTTAAGTTGAATGACTTCATATACCTTGCATTGAAATTTGAGTCATACTTTAACCTAAAGTATGTTGGAATCTTAGGTATTGATCCCAACAGTTGAGTTCTAAAGTCGCCATAAGTAACAGTTTCTGTGTGATTTCAAACCAAACCAAAAAGAAAAATACAATGAAAAAAAATGTGTACAAATAAACATTCAAATGTTGTTGTGATTTAATTAAAGTGAATGCGCTTGGTATTTAATAGATATAGCAAAATATCATGAAAGTTACATAAATGATATTAAAACTGACAATAATGTTGAACTTAGATGCATTTGAACACTCTGATATGCTCAGAAAACTTTACCGACTCTATCTTCCTCTGGGTAAAATTCTCTACTCAATGCCTTGAGTCTACCAGTGAGTAAAAGATTGACCATATTATTCGGAGTTATCATCCCTGCGTCTTCTGTTAACTCTGATCCGATCATGAGGATCAGTAGTGGCAATCCTTCACTTAGCGTTATTAGTGCACTCTCATAGTCTCCTAGGTCAATCTCCGAAGTCACATTTTTCAGTAGCTGCCTTGCTTCTATTTCATTCAAAGAAGGCAGTTCATGACTGTAATAAACCCTTTCAAGCTTCGAAAACTGAACTTGAGTAGTTGAAGTGATGAAAATCCGAACGTTTTTACATTTCTCTACCATTGTGGTGCATAATTTCAAAAATGAAGAACAAATGTTTAGATTTTCAGTGTCCTGATAGTCCTCTGTATTGTCAAAGAAGAACAAAAACTCGTGTCCTGGTGCAGAATTGAGAAATAGCACAATATCATAAATCCATTGGTCAGAACCAGCCGACTCTTGATCAAAGACTAGTTCCAAGGCTGCGCAGATGTTTAAATACAACGACACTACATCCGGCATCAACTTTATATCTATATGTATAACTTTGACTCCGTCTGGTTTAAATCTCTTTAAATATTCTTTCACAAGCCTTGATTTGCCGACAGATCTTATTCCAAATATACCAATTATCCTACAAACTTCCGATTCCTTATGTAACTTTTCAAGGTCATTTTCCCTGCCAACAAAGTCCATTTCAAAATTATTTAGTACATGAAAATCATCATTAAGAGATAAATTATTATGAACATTATCCGATTCACTTATCAAGTTATTTTGTCCTGCCATTTTGTAATTCAAATGACTAATAAATATTTTATTCAGTCATTTAAGATACTACTACGCAGCTACTGCTAGACACTATTCATATCTCAGACACATGTCTGCGCACACAACTGCATAACTGCACCTACCAAGTGGTGCAATCGATACTCAACATGTGCACAATCCATAAGATAACGTTCTTTATCTCATTTTAACTGCACAGAAGTGCTTGTACGTAGGGTTATCTTATTTTAAAACAAATAATATTATGTTTTATATAAATATCATTATTTTATACAGTATTTTAATTTGTACAAAGAAGTAAGTTGAAAAGAGATCCTACGCTTTAATTATGTATAACTACAAATTGTCTATTCCATATAGAAAATTTAATGTCATTTTGGTTAAATAATATTTGAAATTATGAATCAATGTAAGATCAGTAAGTATTAATGAAATCTTAAAACTTTATTGACATCATGATGCGTTCAAAATTGGAAAATTATGAATGTTACACTTTTGTTATTGATTCGAAATTTGAAAAAAAAGATATATCCGATTTTAACATAATTGAATTGTATAAAAGAAATGTTGCTACCTAATGGTACTATATGTTTACTAAACATAAAAAATAAAAATAATACACCGGTTTTTCGATGCATCATAAAAGTATGAAAGGAAAGATCACAAAACGCAGCCCCAAACATTACCCTGTCATACAGGACTAGATAAAGATAGATAGATAAATTTATTTGAACATAAGTATACATCTACATGGCAATGACATGTTTCAAAACATACACACAACTTTTAGCAAACATGTATGAATGAAAAACAAAGCCATGTCAACCAACACTATATGTAAAGGATAGCACAAAAAGGAGTGTTATGACTCATTCTAGATTCTTATTTCTATTGTGGTCCTTAAAATATGGCATTATGAGACATAGAAAAATTATAAGTTAATATGGTGGTTTAATATATAAAAAGGTATACACTGTGTATTCGAAGTTTCTATATAATAAGCACAATAAGAAACATTATCAAAGTGCTGGGTTACAGCATACAATTTAAAGACTGGAAAAAAATACAGAAGAAATAGAAATGTTATAACTTAATTTACTAAAAATGTAAACGAGATCAATAAAAATGAACATGATGGCAGTTAAGAAAGACAAACTAGAAAAATACATTTAAACAGCACTAAGGAGATGCTTGTTAACTCTATGCTTCAAAAAGATAATGAAATGGGTGTCCCTTATGTTCTTTAGTAGAGAGTTCCATAAACAGCAACCATTGTAACTAAAAGTGTTTTGACAACAGGAACAGTACATCACCATCAATTGAGCGACAAAGTTTGCCCCTGGACCTAGTGAGGTATTTGTGAACATTACTCACTGTAGTAAACTGTTCGCCTAGACAAAAAGGGGCCTTATCAGAATGGACTTTAAACACAAGAGAAAGGGTAATTTTGTCAACCCTCTTGGCAACTGGTAACCGTAACCATTCAACCTTCAAAAATTGGTCATGACCTATATGTGAACTGGATCCAGATCCAGAACATTCCTTTTCAATTTATTTTGGGAAACCTGTAACTGATTTTTCAAAGCTTTGGTAAAACCATCTGAGTTAAACCAAGCAACAGAGGCACAGTCATAATGACACTTACAAAAGACGAGACCAGATGAGACCTTTTGATGTTTGACTGTTAGTAAGGCATCCAGCTTAAAACACATACATACAGGCTACATAAGCAGGGCAGTACAGGTGGACAACACTACAATGAACGCGAAACAATCATTTGAGCATGGAAACATAACGATAGTGTTTATATATGAACGGAGATATTTATAACAACCGCAGCATGGAACAAACAACGCGGTTGTGAACGTTAATAGCGCTGTATGTTAGGCTGAAAACGATATCTTTGACTCGCGGTAACTTTGCTAACCATTATTCTTCCAATTGCAATTCTAGATGCATTGTGCTATAATAACTTTAAATAATACATTTATGATAGTTATGCTAACTTAAGACAATGATTCACAATGGTCAATCAATAAATTGATTCCATTTACGCTCATCTTGACTTTAAACCACCTAGCATTCACCCTGGCAGAACTTGAGAGAATGTTTTATGTTATGTAGCTATCCGACTAGCTTACGGAAGGTCTACGCCAAAAGAGCACATCTGCGGATGTTTCAAAATTCCAAATTTCACCAGATCATGTTAAATGTTGAATTTTGCTTGAGCCAGTGCTAGGGGGCGTGTAGAGTAACTTACACTCACCAGTACCCTCCATGAACAGGCTCAATCAAGCCGAGCCTGCAAAATTTTCAATTGTGCCATGTTGACAATAATTTGACATTTCAGAGATAAATTACACAAAGCAAAAGTCCAACAATTTTAGAAAAAAGCTACACACCTTAAGTTTACATCGTAGTCTCAAATGCTTGTGACACAAGAAACAAAACAATATATATATAATGTACAACTCGTACAATTGCATATTAGACATTGTATGGAAAAAAAACATACAAAAAATCGTAGTCACATACTACAAGTATTTTGAGTTTACTTAAAATACATCATAAATATATCAAGTATTTTGTATTTCGAGTGTTGATCGTTTTGAACAGACGCATGCAACTTTTACATGCGCGCTAAACTGCGTTAGTGGTCATTTTCAGATTAAATATTTTCCGATGATTAAGTTTACGAGGAGACGTGTCTTTATTAGCGACGCCGGTGAACGGCGTCGTCTCTTATGGAATGCTTTTTATTTTGGCCTATGGAAGGAGCTGTTATTATAAGCAGTTAATGTCATGTGGTGTTAATTAGTTTTATTTTGATTCGTTAAATTCAAGTAAACAAAAATGTTGTTATATTTGTATTTAATAACTTTATGTAAAAAGCATGTGCATTGTGATATTATTTTCACGAAATTGCAGGCTCAGTTTAACAGCTTGTCCCTTAGCTTTATTAGCAATACTGAAACCCGGATTTCGAATATCGTTGTGGTCTACATTGATGCCGTATTCTTTTTCATTCATTTATGTTTTTTCAAAATTTTCCTACAAGAAGAATGTTTACCTGCAAATGAGTATTAAGATTGGAAATGGAACTGTTGTAAACGATTACCCTATTGATTTTATCCATATTACGTTTATCTATTGCACAGAATGATTGTTTTTACAAAGTGTACCAGTATCCGGATGTTGAAAGCTATCCGATTTTCTGCAATTACTGCTGTCACATGGCCATCTAACTTTTTATGAACACTTTACCATTACTTTACATGGCTTAATAAAACTGAGCCTGCAACATTTTATAATTTTGCTGTTTAATGTGTTCTTTTGGGTTTCAGGTTTTCTCTATTTTAAGGGAAAGTAACTCATGTTTACTAAATTATTTGTTCTTTTCTGTCTATCTTAGGTATAATTTACTATTTTTGTTGTATAAAATTTACCAGTTGTAAAGTCATCAAAGGCATAGAGGCCCTGAGAATTGAATATTAGTATATTTTTTTTACTGGTTTTATATACCGTATAGACTGTATTTTTCTAGTTTGTTCAGTTAGTACATACCTACAGGTATTCTCCTACAGGAATCTTCTAATCACTTTGTGAAACTAATTATAACTTTCTATGTGCTTGTATATAAATTGTTAATAAAATAACCTTTGGTAAAAATGAAAGTTGGAAAATTGAAGCAATGCATATAGGTGCTCATGTCCATATATTGAAACAGAGAAAGGATAACATTCTGAAGTTATTAATTTTAAACACTTGATATACAATGTATATGCAGTTAGTTATATAGTAAAGTCTAATGGAACAGTATTTGTTACTGAAAGAGATATGCATTTAATGTTTAGACACTCACACAACTCAATCTTTATTATATGATATAGACTATTTGAGATTTTGTTTTACTTTTATACTATACATTATAGTTTTCTTTCTACAAGATTATGAATTCCATCCAATTACCAATGTTAATAGGATGTAATATTTATTTTTAATGGAAATAGGGAATCATTAATGTTATGTGCATATATGTATATCTTAGTATATGTATATAATGTGACTTACAGTATTTCTGTAGTTTTGATGGATGAGACTTGCATTTAAATTTATATAAAATGATTATACAGGTTTTGACTGGCCAATAAAAGATAATAATCCATAGTAGAGTTTATACATTATAGTTTTCTTTCTACTAGATTTTGAAGTTCATCCATAAGTACCAATGTTAATGTTAATGTTAAGATTTCATAGTTTTTTAATAGAAACTGGGAATTGTTAATGTTATGTGTATACATGTATATCTAAGCAAATGGATATGATGATACTTTTAATATTTCTGTATTTAAAGAGTTACAGTTATGACATGATTATTAAAGTGATGGAGGACTGGGGATTGTTAATGTTATGTGTATACATGTATATCTTAGCATATGGATATGATGAGACTTTTAATATTTCTGTATTTAAAGAGTTACAGTTATTACATGATTATTAAAGTGATGGAGGACTTTCATTTAAAGTTATAACTGATAATACATGTATTGATTAGTATACAGGTTAAAGGTTTATACCAGTGTAAGCTGGCTAATAATAATATCTATAATACAGTTAAAGGAATCTTAGCCTGGATGCTGTGGTTTATCTTCTGAACTTGTGAGATTTGGCAGGTTACATAATGACCTATCCAGAATTGAGGTTAATTAGTGTCCATTACTAGTGATGACAGGGTCCATGGTGCAATTCCACCGGACAGTTGCATGGCAATATAGATATGTATTCCACTTTCTCTGTGCAAGTAGGTCAGTACTGGTCCTTTAAGGGAAGAAAATGTCCTTTAATCTGGATCAAGCAATATAATTTATAAGTTCTCAAAAAATCATATTCTGAATTGTTATTCTATTTTTTTTCTAACATGTGCATAGTTTGAAAAGGACAGCTTCTGTCTGATCTATTTGTAATTGAGGGACACCGGTCTCAACCTCCAGGTCTGCAGAGTCAACCCAAGTACAAACTTTTCATAGAGTAGATTGTTACTTGTACTTTAATAAATTTGTGCACTAAAGTTTATAGTGGGTGATATGTGCCACATGAAAACCGACAAAGTACAAAAAGTTACCGGGCGTCA